TAGCTAACTCCCTGCGTCATCCTGACTCGCTGCACCTCTTCTGCTTTCTTGCCAACCTCACATCCCCGGTACGCTGAGCTATGCTCCCCTCCGCAATTGCAATATTTCAGCTTTGCCCCTTCTTCGCATTTGCCGTATTCATGATCTCCACCACATCTGCCACACCTTTGTTTTCCCTTGCACACTGCCGCCACGTGTCCAAATCTCTGACATTTAAAACATCTTAGCGGTGGTGGAACATACGGTCTCACATCATAACACATATATCCAATAAGTCTCTTTTCCGGAAGCCTTTTTTCATCAAAGTTGATCAGAACCAAAAGACTATCTTCTTTAATCCCATTGCGGTTTGCTTTTGATAGCTTTGTTCGTTATTCTCGCATCCAGGAGAGAAGCCTTAAAAAAGGAGACTAATGGAGTCTCTGAAAAGGTTCAAATGGGTACTTTAATTAAAATGGCGAGGTAATGTTACAAGCAGAAGATGGTTCAGAGAGAGGGAAGAGAAAAGCTCCCTCTCTGTGTGTCGGCCGAGCAGAAGAGGCTCTCCACACATTCGTCTTTCCCGCTTGCTGGCTGTAAGCTCCTCCTTTCTGGGGGCTGTGGTGACATAGGGGACTTCCCCCCTCGTTGTTCTGTGTCCGATATTTCGTTAAACAGAGGATTTCGACATTTTACATTCATTGCTTACGTCCACATGCCTTTTCTCCTCCTTATCTCTTTCATAACTGTATATGTAATAACGGCGTCAATAGCCACTTTAATGATACTAATGGATGGTAGTCCCGGATGTCGTCATGAAGGATTTTCAGAATAAAAGCTTGGTATTAAGATTGTGCGAGAACTTCCGTTTTTTTTCAGAATAAAATAGCATTTAAACTGATGGTATGTTCTAACTAAATTATACCATAAAACATTGATTTTAATTTCTAACACTTTCATGCGTTTGACATCACTTATTTTTGCATTTGTTATATTCCCTTTCACATCATCAGCTGCTATTCTGACGGGGATTCCTGTCACAACTCCCCTGACTAGCTTTCTACCACTGAACAGTGAACATTCCACTTTCTTACCCTCCACGGTACTCATCTTTATTGCTCTCCCCTGTTGCTCTCTATCCCTACATTTGATCAACATTGATCCATTCCTCAATACTTTAGCATTCATTACCTCCTCGATGTCTTTACTGATGGATTTAGTTAACCGTATAGGGTTCCACACGCCGAACGAAGCTCCCTCTTGTGCAAGTTTCACAACCACCATGAATTCCTGTTGCCTATTTCCGACTACTCTTTCTCTCCTTTAGGATGCTTCAAAAGTTGTATAATTTTGCAAGGACGCCAGGACCAGTGAACAATTTGACATTCTGGAGTCAATGGGTTAAAATTGTCCAAGGTGCTCGCTAGCGTCACCTATGAAAAACCCATTTCGGAATACATTTACAAAGTCGCACTGTAAGTCCGTTTGACCTGACATTTTGCACACTTATCTAGGTGGACCTGCTCTACATTTGGTCCTCTTGAACCTCTAAGCTCCGCCTACTTTGATTTTTTTTTATTAGCATAATCTTCAAAACAGTGAAATATTCACTTAAATTTCAATTTAAAGTTTTTCGACGCCAAACTTAGTATACAGCATTGGTAGAGGGTCACACACATAACCCTAGGAAATGAGCATGTTTAGTTGATAAATATGGCCACCAATAATCAAAACGTATTTTCAAAAAGGCGGGGCTTCGAAAGAAATGCTCATAACTCATCAACAATGTATCCAAATATCACAGATGTTGGTGGACGCAAAACTTTGGACACACGTCACAGCCCACGACCTTTTGGACAATGTAAAAAAAAAAAGAAAAGAAGCTCAGTTGCACAGACATTCCTCATGGAATTGCAGACATATTTCTAGATGGCTTCCATTACCCCCAGAAAGTCAGCCATTTTGAAAAATGTGCGCATTTCCAGCGTCAGTAGAGTATACATTTTTGCGAACTCTTCCTAGGGAAATGATCGAAAAAATTCAAATCAAAGACAAGTTCAGCCCATATCCAATGTGATGCAAAATTGCAAAGAAAATAGTTGCTAGCTCAATCGGGGAGATCGTAAGCTAACAGCGAATATACAATTTTTGAAGATTTAGATGTCACAAATTGCTCCAAACTACTCGCATAGTTTTTCCGATATTCACGAAACACAGTATACACATTGCTATTATGATTGCACACATATTTTAAATTGCCTTCCATTAGCCTTACTTAGGCTAACGGAGAATGTACAATTTTTGACCATTTATATGTCAAATAAGCTACTGAGACCAGCCTGTCTGCCTGGCGCATCAACTCTCTCTCTCACACACTCACACACACACACACACACACACACACACACACACACACACACACACACACACACACACACACACACACACACACACACACACACACACACACACACACACACACACACACACACACACACACACACACACACACACACACACACACACACACACACACACACACACACACACACACACACACACTGTTGGCAAGTCTGTTGACTGTTAGTCCAGCAAGGCCCTCTGCTGGCGGCACATTCAATTACAACAGACACCTATACACTCCACAACACACACATACAGCTCCTAAATCATATAATATATATCAGGCTACAGCCCTTGTATATTTTATTATGTGAAGCAATATATGGTTTCATGAAAAATATCTACTGTTTATTTGTAGATATCTACTAAAGCATACAAGTATTAGTTCATTCAAAGAAAGGCTACATCATGCCTGTGATTTGGCCCGTGAGTCGCTCCGGACCGCCCAGTTTAAAATGAAAGCCCGGTATGACAAAAAGTCAGTTGTTCAGGAATTCCAAACCGGTGACCGAGTATTAGTTCTGCTACCGAACTGGTTGGTTCGGCCCTGCAAGCAAAGTTTTCCGACCTGTATGAGGTGGGCCGTAAGCTCAGTGGAACGGATTATAAAATCGCACTCCGGATCGTAGAAAAAAACGTGTGTGTGTCACATAAACATGCTTAAAATGTATGTTGATTGTAAAAGTGGCGCCGCTCAATCTCCGATAGTAACGCCTATTGCCTCTGTGTCTGTTAATCAGCCACAGTGATGATGGGCTGAGCGACAGGCGCGCTTCTGTGTCCTGTGCGCGCCTCGGTAATTCAGCGATATTGTCCAACCTGAATGAATTTTTAGCACATCTGTCCTACTCGCCCTCGGCTGATATTCGCAGGCTTACTCACACACAGCCACACAGACACAGGAGGAGGAAGAAATATCTGCACACAAATTACATAACGACCCAGGGTCGTAACAGTTACCCTTGGTTATAGCTCCTCCAGAGAGACCTCTCTCCTCTAAATCAGTGTATCCTCGGTTACGGCTCCAACAGACTGCCTCCTCGATAATCGATCCTTGATGAGCCTTAAGAGAAATGTGTTTTCCTTCAAGACGGCGCCCCGACATCCATTTCCGGGTCGCTGCCGGAGGATCGCGGAGTCGAGGACGCGAACATTTGAGAAATGACAAACGGCTCATTTCAGAGGACTCGCGTGTGTCGACTTGACGCCGAGCCGACCAGCCCCGACAGGCGCAAAGATGTGAGGGCCCGTCCACAACTGTGCATGACTGTGACCGCAGTTTTAATTAGTTTTATTATTCAAATTTAAAATATATTTTCAGTGTTTATGTATTGATCACATATATTTGTTTTTCTGTCTACAGCCATATTTATACATTTATTTGGGAGTGTGTATGGATAGTCTTTATATATAATTTTTTATTTATCTATGTTTAATTGTATTGTTTATATATATTTATGTTTATTATTTATTTGTGATGTTTATATTATATTATATTTGTGATATAATTTTAGTCTTTTTTACATTAGGTTCTAACTTTTTAATATATTTGTTATATATTTAGTTTTATTGTTTAAACCTTTATTATCATCTGTTTTAAATATTATACGTTTTTATGCAGTTTTATTTTTTTTCAGTGTTTTTTTCAATAAATGTTTAATTGTTAGTGTTTATATATGTAGTATATTTTTGTATCCTTACCCAGGTTGAACCTATATTATTATTGTCTGCAGGTAGAGACTGTGAGCAGGTCAACCCGTTGGGCGAGTCCTCTCCGGACGACCACCGCTCAGAGGGACAGGGGCGCCCCGGGACAGAAACAAACACACCTCCAGCTGCAGAGAGGGGTATCTGATGTAGCGTCTACTAATTTAAATAATGATTCACTGACAGATTAACATAACATCATAACACAGAATATAGATGTGTGAAATGGGTTGGTACTACCTTTATTTTTGGCATATTTTGAAAATGTAACTCATAATTATTCATAAGAACAAACCGCAAACATTGTCAAATAAATAAAAATACTTCCAGTGGACTGAGGAGGAAGGGTGATACTTTATGTTATTATAACATGTGTTTATTTGGCATATAATACTATAATAACTGATATTAAATACATTAATAATTATACATAAGCACTGGATGGAAATTAACGGCAAAAATAGGTAATTAATAAAGAAATCATTTCAAGCAGACTTCCACATGTCTTGGTACTTCCCGTTTAAATGTAATTGCTATTATTTTGCATAGCCTCGCCAGCTTAATCAAACTTTACTGACAAAATAAACAGTTGCTAAGCTTTTAAATTAACTGTTAAGCTGTCACAGTTGTTTGGAGCTGCTGCCGGGTCTGCTTAAAAAAACACAACAAGAATCTTTTTATAATTCCCCTCACTGCCTGAACGTAGACACAGGTCCGCACTGTCTGACCACAGGGGGTTAAACAATAGCTAACGTTTATTAGCTAAACAGCAATAAGTGGTGGTGCACCAGGGGCTACAGTGCGGGCCGCCAACAGCAATGTAAGATAGTGTCGGTGTTTCGGGTCGGAGCCGGATCCCAGCTGAACAGCTTGTGGGACACAGCAGGAAGAAGTTTTAACACAGCGAGTCCTTCCTTTTCAAAAAGAGTTCACTTTATTAACAACGATTCTTCAAAAGCATCAGGATGAAATGTAACTCACATTAGCTAGTGATATCAACTAAACGATAAGAGATCAGCCGTTGCTTTTTCTTGTTCAAAGGGAGATTCACTTTGGTTTTTATGTCTATGTTTTTGGTCACAAACTGAGAAACCAAATGGCTTCTCCCATGTGAATTCTCACGTCTCTTCAGACTGTCTTTCAGGCGTAATATTTTCCCACACTCAGATACACCCATGGGTACAACTTCAGATACAAATGAACACATAATGAAATATGACCCCCGGTTTGATGATTGACAGGTCACAGTACAATGGGAGCTATCTACCCTTACCCACAATTTAAAGTAATTCACACAGACCATCTCCTCTTTACTCTTCTCTCTGTGAGGAGCAGCAAGTTCAGCTTCAGAACAAAGTGAAACACAAACAATGGCATCAAATATTATTAATATGTCAGGTAGTAGCCTAATCTCAGAGTGTACCAGAATGCAGGGCCGATCACGCAGACTGCGTGGGGCCTCACCTCGCTGAGGGGGCCTCATCTTGCGGAGGGGGCCCCTCAACTGAGCGCACCGTTATGCGGCGCAATTAGTGTAAGCGCGGCACAGTATTGCTGCTGTGACACGGAGGGCTTCATCATATGACTTTGCGTGGGGCCACAAATTGGCCCCTGCTGGGGTTGGGTTTTCAGCATGTGTGCCTTTTTATGTTATACAGTTGAGCTTTGATTCCATCATCTCATTTAACTTTTTTAAAAGCATACTTTAGTTCTGTGAAGGGATATAAGGGATATATGCACTGTACTTCACTTTAATTGATTTTGTCTGCTGAAAAGCAAATAAGCAAATGTCGGATCGCGATTTAATGACAAAGGAAAAAGGTGCGTCCCGAGGCCTGACCAGTTGAGAACCACTGGTTCAGAGTGTTTAACCGGAATAACAGATCTTTCCAATCAACACTGATTTCAGGGTCAGGAGAAGCTAAAGTCATGTTCTTGGCTGGCTCTGGTTCTTTGTCAGTGTCGCCATAAGTGTTGGTTACTTTGGTGTCATTAGAGCACAATGGACTTGTTTCTGTGCTTAATATTTGTTTTAATGCACATTCAGACTTGACTTAGAGCAATGATATTTTATCACACTCAGAGCAGGTATCGCGTTATACACACTTACTGGGACTAACTCAAAGAGTTTAAACCTAACAATAATCACTGTCTTCAGAGTCAGGTTCAGGCCTCTGTGTAAAATATTTATTACAGACTGAGCAACCAAATGTTTTCTCTCCTGTGTGGATTCTCATGTGCCGATTTAAATGTCCTCTGTGTAAATGTTTTCTCACAAAGAGAAGCTGAATGGTTTCTCTCCTGCACTACATCTTGAATCGATGACAGGGTCTTGTTTATTTGTCTGAGAGTTTGAACCTGGTTCCCTGTTCTCCATCCAATCAGCCCTGTCTTCAGTGTCAGGTTCAGAAGAGTCTTCTGGGTTGTCCTCAGTCTCTGGTTGTAAATGTCTCTCTGGATCTGAGTTCCTGGCTGGTTCTGGTCCTCCACAGTCCTCTCCATCAGCTTCTGTTTCCAGGTATTCAGCTGAGCTGCTGGCTGGAGGCTCTGCCTCTCTGTTCTCCTCAGTTTGAGTGTGAGGAAGCTGTGAGGACTGACGATCAACACACTTATGGATTTTGACCCGATATCTCCGGGTGAATCTTTTGTCACAAACTCTGCAGCTGAATGGTTTCTCTCCTGTGTGGATTCTCATGTGTTCCTTTAAATCTCCTCTCCGTGCAAAATATTTCTTACAAATTGAGCAGATGAATGGTTTCTCTCCTGTGTGGATTCTCATGTGTTTCTTTAAATCTCCTCTCTGTGCAAAATATTTCTTACAAATTGAGCAGCTGAATGGTTTCTCTCCTGTGTGGACTCTCGTGTGTTTCTTTAAATCTCCTCTATCTGCAAAAGATTTCTTACAAATTGTGCAGATGAATGGTTTCTCTCCTGTGTGGATTCTCATGTGTTTATTTAAATCTCCTCTCTGTGCAAAATATTTCTTACATATTGAGCAGCCAAATGTTTTCTCTCCTGAGTGGATTCTCATGTGCCGATTTAAATTTCCTCTCTGTGTAAACGTTTTCTCACACAAAGAGCAGCCAAATGGTTTCTCTCCTGCACTACGTCTTGAATCACTGACAGGGTTTTGTTTATTTTTCTGAGGGTTTGAACCTGGTTCTCTGTTCTCCATCCAATCAGCACTGTCTTCAGTGTCAGGTTCAGAAGAGTCTCCAGGGTTGTCCTCAGTCTCTGGTTGTAAATGTCTCTCTGGATCTGAGTTCCTGGCTGGTTCTGGTCCTCCACAGTCCTCTCCATCAGCTTCTGTTTCCAGGTGTTCAGTTTGTCTTTGATGAAGCTGAGAGGACTGAGGTTTCTCTTCATCATCTTCACTCTTCACAGGGACAGGAGTGAATGTGGACTTGGTGATATCAGCCTCCTCCAGCCCCTGAAGCTGCTCTCCCTCCTGACTGCTCCAGAGTTCCTCCTGTTCCTCTTTAATGTGTAGGGGGGGCTCTGGGTCCTCCTGGTCCAGACTGGAGCTCCACTCCTGCTGCTCAGGGGGAACCTCTTCTTTAACCACCACCAGCTGCTGGACGTCTGCAGGAAACAGGAAACACATATTCAGAGAAACTGTAGAGTATTAGAATTTAAAATCTAACCACGATTAACACTTCTTTAACTTTGCAGCCCTTATCCATTCCTTATTTGAAATGCTTTTCCAGATCGGTCGGCCGTTCACGGAGTGTGAGGCAGTAGCCTTATAGTTTGTGACCTGTCTCCAGAGTCGTTAGCTGAGAACTGGTGTTGGGGTTTCTCAGAGTAGTCGTTTAGCATCTCTCACCGCCTCGCTAAACCTGTACTTGGACTCATACCGGTGCATCTCAATAAATTAAATAACATGGAAAAGTGAGTTTATATCAGTAATTCAATTTATAAAGTTTAAATGTATACATCACATAGATTCATCACACACAAAGTGAATTATTTTCCAGCGTTTATTTGTTTTAATCTTGATGATAAAATGAAAGCCAAAATCCAGCATCTCAGAATATTTTAATAATACATAAGACCAATACAAAAACAGATTTTTTATTAATATAGAAATGCTGTCCTTCTGAAAATCATGTTAATGTGTATGCATTCAGTACTTGGTTGGACCTCCTTTAGCTTGAATAACTGCATCAATGCGGCACAAATCTCTCTATTTCAGCGTGATAAACCGATGAACTGCTGCCTTTGTGCGTCAATATGTGACGGGTTGGGAGCATGGACTGTATATACACTGAACAAAAATATAAATGCAACACTTTTGTTTTTGCTCCCATTTTTCTTGAGATGAACTCAAAGATCTAAAACATTTTCTATATACACAGAATAACCATTTCTCTCAAATATTGTTCACAAATCTGAAAAAATCTGTGACAGTGAGCACTTCTCCTTTGCCGAGATAATCCATCCCACCTCACAGGTGTGGCATATCAAGATGCTGATTAGACAGCATGATTATTGCACAGGTGTGCCTTAGGCTTGCCACAATAAAAGGCCACTCTGAAACGTGCAGTTTTGCTTTATTGGGGGGGTCTGGGGGGGTCCGAAAACCAGTCAGTATCTGGTGTGACCACCATTTGCCTCACGCAGTGCAACACATCTCCTTCGCATAGAGTTGATCAGGTTGTTGATTGTGGCCTGTGGAATGTTGGTCCACTCCTCTTCAATGGCTGTGCCAAGTTGCTGGATATTGGCAGGAACTGGAACACGCTGTCGTATACGCCGATCCAGAGCATCCCAAACATGCTCAATGGGTGACATGTCTGGTGAGTATGCTGGCCATGCAAGAACTGGGATGTTTTCAGCCTCCAGGAATTGTGTACAGATCCTTGCAACATGAATTATCATGCTGCAACATGAGGTGATGGTCGTGGATGAATGGCACAACAATGGGCCTCAGGATCTCGTCACGGTATCTCTGTGCATTCACAATGCCATCAATAAAATGCACCTGTGTTCGTCGTCCATAACATACGCCTGCCCATACCATAACCCCACCACCACCATGGGCCACTCGATTCACAACATTGACATCAGAAAACCGCTCACCCACACGCCACACACGCTGTCTGCCATCTGCCCTGAACAGTGAAAACCGGGATTCATCGTGAAGAGAACACCTCTCCAACGTGCCAGACGCCATCAAATGTGAGCCTTTGCCCACTCAAGTCGGTTACGACGACGAACCGGAGTCAGGTCGAGACCCCGATGAGGACGACGAGCATGCAGATGAGCTTCCCTGAGACGGTTTCTGACAGTTTGTGCAGAAATTCTTTGGTTATGCAAAGCGATTGTTGCAGCAGCTGTCCGAGTGGCTGGTCTCAGACGATCTTGGAGGTGAACATGCTGGATGTGGAGGTCTCGGGCTGGTGTGGTTACACGTGGTCTGCGGTTGTGAGGCCGGTTGGATGTACTGCCAAATTCTCTGAAACGCCTTTGGAGACGGCTTATGGTAGAGAAATGAACATTCAATTCACGGGCAACAGCTCTGGTGGACATTCCTGCTGTCAGCATGCCAATTGCACGCTCCCTCAAAACTTGCGACATCTATGGCATTGTGCTGTGTGATAAAACTGAACATTTCAGAGTGGCCTTTTATTGTGGCCAGCCTAAGGCACACCTGTGCAATAAGCATGCTGTCTAATCAGCATCTTGATATGCCACCCCTGTGAGGTGGGATGGATTATCTCGGCAAAGGAGAAGTGCTCACTATCACAGATTTTTTCAGATTTGTGAACAATATTTGAGAGAAATGGTTATTTTGTGTATATAGAAAATGTTTTAGATCTTTGAGTTCATCTCATGAAAAATGGGAGCAAAAACAAAAGTGTTGCGTTTATATTTTTGTTCAGTGTATAAATGGACGTAGGGTCACCCATAGGATTCTGCAGAGTTGCCGAGAAGACCTTAGTAGGCGGAGTCGGCCACTAACGGCTCGACAGTGACGTCAGAGTTCAACTCCCGCCTGTTCCAGCCTGCTCCAAATAACGGGTGTTTAGGACATGATTGTGCAGCCCTGATCAATCATTAAATTGTGAGAAGAGGCAGAGCCGAGGCGGGACCTGCTGCTACCGAGCTGGAAGTTCCAGAGCTAGCTGAAGCTACCAAGCTAAGCTAACATGCTCCCCATCTGCACACTGCCGTCGCATTTTACGTTTCTAAGGTAAGCGGACATGAAACTATTCAGCAAAACTATAAATAATAATCTAAGTTATTGAGTTTTTAGCATAATACTTCAGAATCTTAAAACCCCTTAACGTGTGTATTAGGGGTGTAACGGTTCACAAACATTTCGGTTCGGTATGTACCTCGGTTTTTAGGTCACGGTTCGGTTCGGTACGTTTTCGGTACAGCAGAAAAAATTATCACAAAAAAAAATATATATTTTTTTAAATGATTATTAAACTGTAAATAATGTATTCACTCAAATAAATACAAAATATAATAAAATAAACATTAAGGTGCAGCATTTCGATTAACTGAAATAATCTGTATTTGAACTTTACTGTACTAGTACTCACAAAACATGAACTATTAGTTTTGGGTTTTTAATTATTATTAAACTGAATATTCACCAGGAATGCAAACTCATCAGGTATGAAAAAGGTGACAAGGACCTGAGCCCCTCGACCCCACGGAATATCGGCTATAAAATGAGGAATAACAGGATGTTAGCAGTCAGAACAACTAAAGCAGCAGTTAGTAATAACAGAAACGCCAAAGAGTCACATCTAATAGAAATATATAAAAGCATTTTTTTTAATTGTGTAGCAGTCAGTTTATAATTCTGGCAGCACTGTTGAGCATTTTGAAAATTTATTTGCATGCCTCTGTTCAAGGCTTAGTCTTTGTATCTGTATAGCCACTGGTGTTAAGTAACTACGTTTTTAAACTCAACAAGTACTATACGTGGGTACAATTTTGAGACACTTGTACTTTATTTAATTATTTCAATGTTTTGCTACTTTGTTCTTCTTCTCCACTACAGTTCAGAGGTAAATGGTGTACTTTTCCTCCACTACATGTATTTAATACCTTTAGTTACTTCACAGATGTGGATGAATGATGTGAAATCTAATCAAGTGTTAAATCAGACTTTAGTTCCACCTGGAGTAAATTCACAAGCTACCCTGCAGTATACAAAGTCATTCAAACTAGCTGCACCTTTACCAGCTTTGAGAACACTTTCATGATCAATCATTATAAAACACATCATATATATTATTCTGAAATGGACCAATCTGCACAACGACTACTTTTACTGTCGCTACTTTCACTATATTTTGATGAGAATACTTTTCTACTTTCACTTGAGGAACATTTTGAATGCAGGACTTTTACTGTAACAGAGTATTCCTAAACTCTGGTACTTTTACTCAAGTACAAGACCTGAGTACTTCTACTTTTACTCAAGTACAAGATCTGAGTACTTCTACTTTTACTGTCGCTACTTTCACTATATTTTGATGATAATACTTTTGTACTTTTATTTGAGGAACATTTTGATTGCAGGATTGTTCCTACACTCTGGTACTTCTACTTTGACTCAATTGAGTCAAAGTAGAACTACTCAGGTTTAAACCGGAGTACTTTTACTTTTAGTCAAGTACAAGATTTGAGTACTTCTACTTTTACTCAAGTACAAGATCTGAGTACTTCTACTTTTAATCAAGTACAATATCTGAGTACTTCTACTTGTACTCTAGTACAAAATCTGAGTGCTTCTGCTTTTACTCAAGAACAAGATCTATACTTATACCACCTCTGTTTATAGCCTATGAAAAAAACTATTAGAAAACGAAGGCTAAAGCTAACGTTGGTTAGCAGATAGTGACAATGTATGCTAGTTAGCCAGCTCAACGATAATATTGCGACAGAAAAACTGTTCAGTGCACATCACGCTCTGCCGCTCTGCTCTGAACGGCCCGTTCTAACAGCTGTTCACCAGCGGTGCAGTCTGTGCTGTGCCACAGTGACTCCCGACCACACAGTTAATATTAACGAACGCACCCGTAGGTAATGTAGCTGCTGAAGCTAGACCATCATCGCGGCCCCAGATTAATCCGGGTCCCGTTGCGTGGAAGTCGGAAACAGTACCGAAGGAGTGGCAGACCGGGGTGGTGGTTCCCCTTTTTAAAAAGGGGGATCAGAGGGTGTGTGCCAATTACAGAGGCATCACACTACTCAGCCTCCCCGGGAAAGTTTACTCTAAGGTACTCGAAAGGAGGGTCAGGCCAATTGTCGAACCTCAGATTGAGGAGGAACAATGCGGATTCCGTCCTGGTCGTGGAACGACGGATCAGCTTTTTACTCTCGCAAGGATCCTGGAGGGGGCCTGGGAGTACGCTTATCCGGTCTACATGTGTTTTGTAGACTTGGAGAAGGCGTATGACCGAGTTCCCAGGGAGTTACTGTGGGAGGTGCTGCGGGAGTATGGGGTGAGGGGGTTTCTACTCAAGGCCATCCAATCTCTGTACTCCCAAAGCGAGAGCTGTGTCCGGGTCCTCGGCAGTAAGTCGGACACATTTCCGGTGAGGGTTGGCCTCCGC